AAATCATCTCGTATATTTTCTACATTATAACTCAATTATGTTTTGTACTTGCTTGCTCTTGGTTACTCGAATTGCATTTCATGAACTTGAACGCAGAATAATTTGCGAACGCATAAATCACCGATTTCAAACTTTTTGCATTTCGTAAATATTGATAGTGACCAATCTGTTTGTATTTCAAAAAATTGTAACATGTTCCAATTATTAAAATTAAATTAAAAAGAGAATAGTAAATAACTTAGTGTGTATTGCAGTTCATGTCATAAATGCGAGAATGCTGTATGTAAATGATATGCAAATTTATGCTAATTAGGCCGCCCACCAGCTAATTTGGATTGTGGAGAACACTGCGGTCAATAAACACGTCACGTGTGCATTCAAAAACATGGCGTGTATCGTATCGATCGTTAACATGTGACTGAAATCATTCGCTTACGATGAAACTAAGTTGAATTTTACTTGCATTTCATAACAAACCAACAGATTAAATTTTGTGCGTTATTGTAATCACTACACTACACTATTTTTTTTTTGATTGACTAATTTTTCAACATTTCGTAATGCCTATTTTAGAACCAAAGTAAGGCCTTTCACTCTTCCCTGACGCCTATTCAAGAGATTGTACGATGTATTGTTTGTTTTGTACTTGTGTTGTGGACAAAAAATGACCACTCCCATTTAGTGATTGCAATATGTACGTAATAGAAACCGCACCCCGAACTTGAGCTTTTGATCCCAATTTTTAAATTGATACATTGTAATATAAACCGCGGTTTATATTAGTACTTTAACGGTAAATAGTACCTCAAATTACTGACATAATCAAACATCATGCGTGTACCATAAAACAGTTTATTTTCACTAACATTTAATTTGACATTTAACCATGTCCTATTTATGGGACTCGTAGCAACACACGTGTGTAAAAATACATTGTTTACATGAAATTTGAACACTCTTGTGCAACAATGACCACCCTTTAATTGGTCATGAGTAATAACGCGTATTCCTGAATACGTAACCAATCTTAGTGAGTTAATTGTACTAAGTTATCTTTACTTGTATCAGATTTAGGTTCAGGTTCCAGTTCGGTTATTAAGCAGCTTTTAGTCAGTCAGCCAGATCCATTATTTCAAAGTAGGTAATACTAGTAGTTAAGATATACAGAGTGGTTAGGGTATGTATGATGTTGAAAGATATGAAAAACTATAATTGGAAAAACTAGGTCTAGTATAGAAAGTCTGAAAACACTATCATATGAAGCTTGATATGCCATAATGACTTACTGCGAATGAAAAAGCAACCCAATCAGCATAGCTCACTGCTTTACTAACAAAGTAGCAATTAATGAATATTACAAACTGGTACATTTGAACTATCAACATTCCTATTTTGTTTGCAAAACAGTGAGCTATATTGCAATACTGCTGGGTTGAGTTGTCCACAGTCACCCACAAGTTTTTTTATATTGTAAATGTAATCATTGATGTTGAACTATTAGTAATTTTAGTGCATTCATGAGTGCTACATTTATAAGACATTTATAATAACCCCCATGCGCGTGTGCATCAAACTCAAGTGAAATTGTCACTCTTACTAAAAGTAACCATTCCCCTCGTAAATTTTGGAAAAATTGTGCATTAAATTGAAGAACTCGACAGTAAATAAATCAAGGCTATTTGGGAAATGTTTACTTTGTCTGTTATCTTCTAATTCCAAGTTGTATTAAACAGACATCGTATAAATTGTGTAGTATCTACAAAATGCGGACTGTGGCTTGACTTTCCAAACACCTATTGAGCCTCATCTGAACAAATTTGATTGTTTGAAAAAAACAAAAGCAATTTCATGTCTTAAAAAATGTTCAATTTCTCCTGTCTTGCAAGTTGTAGTGTTATATTCTCGTTTTAGACACGATAGTGAGCTAATTACTATCCCTTCATTGCTTAATTCTTGCAGGTAACCAAGGCAATATGGGAGGACAGACTGGATTCTACAACAGTGGAACAGGAATGGCTGGAATGAATCAAGGAATGGGAGGGGGGATGCAAATGGGACAAAACACAGGATTTGGAAGTGGCTTCTAAAACTTTGTTTTGTGATGGTAGCTATTTTGTGTGAACCATTGGATCATGGCATCAAAAACATGCTTCAATTTTTGTTAGTATAACTAAGAGTGTTCATCAAAATATTGTTTTTTAAGTAGTGCAGATATTTTTTACCGTTCAAGTTTTTGAGAGAGCACTGCCTGGGTATGGCTATTAGGCCAATAAACAAAATTGGTCAAAGATAAGTGTAAGAAATTTTCTAGAGATGGAGGTTTGATTAATTTTAATGTTCATAATACTGGGAATTTTGTCTATTTTGTTGTGAACATTGTCCTTTGATGTAATAAAATTATTGTATACCTAAAATCGTTGTGTATTCCTATTTGTTTCTCCTAATAGTGAAAATAAAAAATTTGTGTACTGTCACTACTGAATTGATTGGATCGTGCAGCAATGTTGCCTTGTAGCATCTTTGTCAGCTGTCAGTGTGCCCTCTGGCAATTTGACATACTGCCCTTTTGTTTTTACTCCTATGAAGTAACTTGGCTACCGATTTCCCAAACTTGCAATGTAAATGCACTGGGATAATGTGCACATGCTTAATCAGTTTATAGTGTGAAGCCAGACTAAGAAGAATTTCAAAAGGTATAAAAGTCTGAACGAAGATTAAATTTTGAGGCAGAAAGGATTTTTGTATCCCAGAAGAGCTTTATGCCCCAAACTACGTGCAGCAATTGAGATGGATTAAAATGATTGTGCTATTGGAGGCATTCAGTATACTGTCAATTTTTTTGGGGGGGGGGGGGCAGCCAAATGGAATGAATAAGTAAGATTGAGTGTTGATCTTTCTGATTTGTATACTGAAATTGTGGTAGTTGCATCCTATACACAAGATGTGCGTAATGATCAACTTTATGAATATTTAGGATCTTGAAAAATCATGTAGCCCTAAAGCCAGCAAGAAACGCCTAGTTTCAGATTACTCGATGGACTATCAGAGCTAAGAGTTTGAACCCAGCTTTTTGGTGGTCACTTCAACAGCATCACTTGATCTGTATTCAAGTCTCAAAATGCTTTATGAAAACAAAGTGTAAAAATTGTTTAGAAGTCTGAACATTTGGTCAGAATTAAGTATAAAGTCATGGAACGGATCATTGTGATTGGTCGAGAGGGTTTCATCCAATTACCAAATCATCTATAGATGTATATTTTGCATAGCAAAGCAGTGAACTGTTTGGTGTACAAAATATTCTTCTACAAATTGCGCCCTCTACAGCAGAGGCAAATCGTGTGGTGTAATTCCACAATCTTTATTGAATGAACTCTGATCAAAATAATATCAAGACTTTGAACTGCTTTCAGGTCATAAAAGGCACATTTATGGAAAAAGTGTATATTATCTCCAAAAGAACCATCAAAATTTGAGTGATTGAAAAATACTTGTGGTCACAAGAAAATTTCATACCTAACACAATCTCATACATACAAACACCTTAACCACTGAATTATTAAAAACAAATTTTCTAATCTAAAAATTTATTTTACCATACATGTAATTAACTAAAAAAAAGAATTTAGAAAAATCATTTGAAATGTTCAGCAAAAACTTTAGATACATTTGCATTGGGATAAATGCCACAAGTAGTCAGTACTACAACAGTGTGCAACTTCTATATGGGAATGCAGGTCTCGAGGAATGAACTTTAAAACTGTCTTTATATTGATTGGTACCATATGCATGTTGAAGTTCAGGCCAATGTAACATTAGCCTTTGTATAAATATATTACAAAAAAATGACCAAGTCGAAGTCACAAATATGAACACCTCAACCAATAGATGTAATGGTTGCTGCTAGTAAGGAAACGGATAGAACACATACTTTGAAGACGGCACATGCAGTTCAGGACAATTTGAAGAAGACTGATACTGTTTTAGTTGACCTTAGGGTCGCACATCCTGGTACTTTATCTATGACCCTGCAGGCAAAACATCCTGGTACTTTCTGGATGTACAAGTTCACAACAAACAGAATTGTTATTTTTTCAAAAGTACATCATAAATTAAGCCAAAAAAGTTTCACAAATTATTATAGATATAGAGCAGTCTGTTTTATCCCCAGGATGTGTGACCTTTACGGTCATGAATAAAGTCTCAGGATGTGTGACCTCTAGTAGGGTCATGAATAAAGTCCCAGGATGTGTGACCTCTAGTAGGGTCATGAATAAAGTCCCAGGATGTGTGACCTCTAGGGTCATGAATAAAGTCCCAGGATGTATGGCTGCTAGGGTCATGAATAAAGTCTCAGGATGTATGACCTCTAGTAGGGTCATGAATAAAGTCTCAGGATTTATGACCTCTAGGGTCATGAATAAAGTCCCAGAATGTGTGACCTCTAGGGTCAGGAATAAAGTCCCAGGATGTATGGCCGCTAGGGTCATGAATAAAGTCTCAGGATTTATGACCTCTAGGGTCATGAATAAAGTCCCAGAATGTGTGACCTCTAGGGTCAGGAATAAAGTCTCAGGATGTATGACCTCTAGGGTCATGAATAAAGTCTCAGAATGTACGACATTCAAGGGGTCCTTGAGATAACTGGGCTTAAGACTGCTGCACTGCACCCATACGCTGCGGATCCTGTGAAGGGTAGTGAACTGCCTGTTGTTGACTGGGCTGAGTTGTAGTGCTTGGAGGGAAACCAGGTGGTCTGAGGGGTGGTGGCAGACGTGGAAATCCTGGCAGTGGAGGTGGTGGACCAGTGTAACCTGTAATATAAAAACAATATGGTAGATAGTTACTAACGTGTATATGCAAGAATAGTATTCTGTATGACAAGTGTGGGTTTGTGGTGTTTTCTACTTGAAAGTGTACACAACAACCAACTATCCCATCCGGGAGGGAGTAAGAAAACTAAAACTGTAATTCCGCCACCCACAACATATTTACCTATTAACACATTGCCTGTCAACACCCTTTTTTCCCCACTGATTTTGGTATGTCTATTGAAGCTTTTAGTGGGCAATGTGTTAACAAAAATGATACTCTAGTAGAAATAATCTATAACAGACTGGATACTGGTTCTTACCTGGTGGTGGTGGCATGCTCACCAGATGTGGCATTGGGGGTGGCATCAATGGTGGAGGATGTTGGGGAAGATTAAAATAATTCCGACTTCCCTCATCACCGCCATCTGTAGGTGGGAGTGGCAACGCTGAAATAAATAATAAATCAAAGTTAAACTCTGGAAAGCTCCTGTGTGAATACAGAACATATGCAAATATATGAAAATTCTCCTTAAATCTACTTAGAAGTTTGAGATGAGATAATTAATATGCAAATTAGCTACTTAATATGCACAGGTATGGCCCCAAAACTAATCAGATTTGTGTATTATCGCAAGGTACCCAAGTACATAATCAAAATCTGACCATACAAACACACAGAAGCTAACAAATATTACACTTCACATGAACACACACACACTTACTGAGTGGAATTATTAATCGATTATTCACTCCAGCCATGGACTAGTACACTTGCTGTGGACTAGTATTATCAACTAGTGTATGTTAACATGACTGTTGACAGTCCCTCTGGCCTAATGTTTTTTTTTTTTCAACTAAAATAATTTGATGTATCGCATTTGCAAAATGTTGAAGGTATTTTCAAGCGATTATTGATTAAATCATTTTAGTAGAAAAACCATTGGGCCAGAGGGACTGTTGTTGGTCTAGGCAATGACACAAGCACTGAATGTTTGAATGTAATCAGTCCAGGCATGTCTAAGATATAGGTCTAGACACACGGTCACACACACACACATACAGGTAAAGCCATGAGTCCCTGTTTTTGGACGGCATCCGAACAAGGACTAAAAATAGTGAACGAAACAAACAAAATAGTGAAATTATTTGACAGTGAAAATAAATGTTTTTACAGTGAAACAATATTTCATGCATGGCAGAGAAAAAAATGAAGCTCAGAAGAATTTTGTACTGAAAATACTGTACTGTATTTCTTGTATATAAACATAAAATATCAATATTAGGTCATAACTGTGCTGTTCAAGTTTAAACAATCACAGAGTTGAGTTGATTCAATTTCCATAATTCAGAACAGACAAGTTTCTTTTTCTAAGCTCTAACTGTATAGAAACAAACAATTCTTACCACCAGGTAGCCCCGGCACTGGTTCCAGTTGTACAATATCCTTGAATTCTCCGTCTTTTTTACCCATCAAAGCTTGCTGTGCCTGAGATCGTCCCCATTTGATATTCAGACGTCTACCATTCATTATCAGTTTATTGAATGATCTTTCAGCGGCCAGCTCGGAAGACTGTCGAGTTGTGAACTGTACAAATGCACACTGTTGTCTAGCTACAACATTAATGCTGCGAATTTCACCAAACTGGTAAAAATGATCTCTGGGAAAGAAAAATTATTTTTTTTAACAACTCGGTGAACCTCAATAATTTTTGTTAGCAGTTGGCTTAATGTTACCCAAACGAATTGTTTGACTGTCAAAGTAATTTTTTGACCTTATTTGCAGGAGTCTGTAAAAAACCTGTTTCTCAACTTGTCTCAAGACATATTCAAGATGGCTGCTCTCATATAGTACATGTAAATATCGATAGGTTAATCACATTTATTCAATTATCACTTGTATGCCAGCTGAGTGTGACTGAAATAAATTATTTTATCACCTTATTTGAGAGTACCGGTATACAATGAAACAAGAAATAATAGCCTAAGACAAACAGATTGACACGTCTGAATTTGCAGGTATTTCTAGAAGTGAGGAAATGTCTTGCTATTATGTGATCACCCCATATTTCGCACAACTTCAAATGGAATCTTAATCACACTAGATGCAAGTCTACACAGTGAATTTCAGGGATGCATGTTCACCAAATATAAATATTTTCAGATTTGACAAGACAAATTAAAGACAATCTCTTACCTGAGATCTTTTTCAGAAATTTTATCACCAAGTCCACCTACATATAACGTAGTGATAGTTCTATCTTCTGGTGCTTCCAATTTAGGCATCGTTGCAGCACGGTTAAGCAATTTATGAGCAACAGGATCATTGACGCCATAGAATCGGTCTTTGATATTTTGATCGGCCAGTGGATCATCAGGGTCTGTAGGCTTTTCGTGCCTAAACAACGAACAGAACACAATATTAATCAATAAGAACCTTGTTTGAATGTGTAATACGATAGATGTTTGATGAAGTTATGGTGTTTGATTGAAACTGATTTCACTGCTGCAAAATTCATTCTTGAAAAGACAGGCAGCTGCAATCATTTAAGATATCACTCATGGATGTTATTACTTGTAAATTTTTGTAAATATCATAATTATAAATTATAATAGTTTGTAATTTAGTATTGGGATGCACGCTTGTACCGTCCTATATGCTCAGGGTTGATAGCTAACTGAATATAACTAATTTGAAATAATTTTGAAACAAGACATAATATCCTGAACAAAAACTGACCTGTACGGGCACTCTTCACCTCTTTTACATTCACCTTTGACCCAGAAAGAACATATATGTGGTCGGTTTCTTTTGTAGTAAGGGGTTGTTCTGGCTAGCTTTAACAACAAGTCGCTTGGGGACTGTGATTTTCCAACTGCTCCAACAGCCTGAGTGCCATCGGAATTAGCAATCTGCAAAAATTAACATCATGCACAAGTCAGAGTATTGTGGACAACAATTGGGGGTACTATAGATTCATTACAATTCTGGTGGAATCAAACTTTCACCAATCATTCATATTCAAAATAAGCTTTATTCCATAAAGGATACGTTTGTGTAGACAGTTTTATTCATCAAAATCAGACAACCTACGTGTAGTTCAAATTGTGGAAATTTCAAAAACTTCAGCTACAATAGACCATTTTCCATTCACTTTGAGATCCAGCATTATGTGGGAAATCAAATGCATAAACAGGACAAACAAAGGCCAATAGTGGTGTCAAAACATTGAATGACATTCAACAAACGCGAAAGTACATGTAGTTTTTGTGTATTTCTACGCCAATTTTAATTTCTATGTCAGGTCAGACTTTTTTTATTCCTTGTTTCTCGAGTTTTTATAAGGCAATTCTTTTGAGGAGGGCAGCAAAAAATTAAAATTAATTAATTGTTTTTTCCATTAGATTTGTGTGATTCTCAATGAATTGTAGGTGAAATCATTGATCGGAGAAAAGAAATAAAATAAAATTTTATTCTATGTATAACCTTGTTTCTCATCTGCGCGAGACTTTGGTACTTTGATCATGATGCTCCCACGAAAATGGAACTTGGGTTTGTTGTGCGGCGGGCGGAAAAAAAATGAAGATAAAAATAATTTTTTTAGCAATTTTTTGCACTTACAAGTTGGCAGGCGCGAGAAATTACGCTGAAATCAAATTTAATTTTATTTTCGGCTCCTGTTCATTCAGCGGGTTCGCGAAACAAGGGATAATAAAAGTCTGGCCTCATATTCCTCTCTGAAAGCTGGCATTTTGACATTAAGCTATAAAAAAAAAACTCAAGCTCCAAAATCAATTCATTCAATTTTTGTGGCAGACTGTTGGTCTGTGAGTCTTTCACGCAATACGTGAGAGCTCCATCTTTGTACAGAATTCTCAGGGGCAGACATTCATGAATTTTAACTGCCTGGCAACCATCACGGTGAAAACAAAGGCCGAAGACTTTCAGAAAATGGTACTTCGAATAGTTATTAAACTTCAAAGTTGAGTTTTTGCAGTTTTCACGACGTTAGCCGTTTTCACCAGCTCTTCAACCGGTGTTCCACAGCAGCTCACGCAGACCCCATAGAAATACATGGTACTGTGGTGCACGTCTTAGCAATTTGTATAATGTAGTTACGCCCCCGAGAATAGGGTAGTGTAGACAACATGCAGTTTTGAATCAGTCATTGTTCAGTTATTCTAATTTAATCAAAGATTAACTAAACATTTTAGTGTTCCCTCCTTAAATCTCAATCATTGCAAGATTTCAAATTTTGTTCGCATGATGAGATCAATGCATATCCCCAATTAACACAATACCAACTTTCATACAGCAAGACTAGACCAGGGTTTGAACTGCAGATTCATGAGTATCTTAGTTTAAAACCAAAACTGCTGAAGATATCTCAGACTAATTAAAACTCATTGTATTGAGCTTAGAAATCTTCACTGATTTTGAAAGGCAACAAGACAGTTGGATGGAGCATTTACAGCATGCCATCCATGAACTACAACTACCGGGATAATCACCTCAATCTCAGATAATTTAATTTGCACATGTATAAAATGTAACAATTACTACATACTTCTCTTTCCATATTTTGTGTATAATATTCTTTATTAACATCTGATTTGGGCATATCATCTTTTATACTCAAAGCTGCATCTCGTACTTGTAGCGGTAAACCTAATAAAAAAAACAAAAAACATTTGACTTTGAAAATGGGTGCCTCCTACGTAAACCAAGCTTGGACCACTAAAGATACAGAAAGTGATAATCCCAAACCAATATCAACTTACCATATTCCAAATCTAACAAACAAGTCTGGCAACAGTTTTTCACTTTACTACAGGTCTGGCAAACTTCTGTTTTTTTAAATCTCATCCTTGCACCAGGGCACCACCTGAAGATCGTAAACGGTCTAGCACAAATCTTGCACTCCTTGCCATACTTCTCTTTAGTCTGTGAAGAAAATAAACTTTCTGTCAACTAAATGAAAAATACTGAGGACAGTATCCTATACTGTAGTAGTGTAAATCGGGTATAAACCTTCAAACATAGTAATAATACAGCAATAAATAAAAGCCTCATGGCAACAATGGTAGTTTTAACAGAAACATGAATGGAAATACTTGTAGTGGGCTACATGTATGCAAAACCAAAAGTTCACTATACTATAGACATTTTTAAATCTAAACCATTTTTGTGAGCAATTAATTAGTGAATATGAAAATTGAGCCATGTACTTTTCATACAATGTATTCAACAATTATTGGACTGGATGGCAACCTGGAAGTGATAAACAAATTTCTGGGTGGGCTTCAATGAGAAATGTTAGGTTTATACAATTCCACATTGTGATTTTGATTAGTTTTGTGTTAAACTAGAAAGATACACACTTTACACGAGGAACTTGTGATGCCAAGTATTTCTCTGAAGATAACAGTTTTTTTGTTTGATCTGAGACTACTAGACTTACCATTCTCACATAGGGATTATCTCCCAAACACGTCTGGCAAAGAATTGGAAACTCCTGAAAAGACAAATAGTAAAAGTAAATACAAGGGAAAGTTTGTTCACTGAGAAAGGAGTGGTGAGAATTATATTGAAATCGTGTCAAAACCAAAAGACTAGCACAAATATATACATGAATATATATAATGTACAATACATGTATACATGTACCAATGCAAAGAAATATGTGAGACAATGCTGTGTATTACTATTAATCTCCAATTTTGTACATTTCTCATTTATTATATTTCAGGACAATCATAAAGATGAAATACAGTGAAAGTCAGTGAGACTCCCTGTACTGTATTTGCATATGCTTATTTCACACAAATCGCAGAGACATGTCAATGGTTAAAATAAGTCATTTTAATGATCTAGAATACATATTGAATAAATTTCACATGTGTACTTCTAACAGTAATGTTTCTATCACAAAACTCACTTTCATGAAAACATGTGAGGAAAGCTCTGTAGATTCTAAATGACATGTTCACTGTCACAAAACGTTATTTTTTGTTTTTGTTTCAAATATCCACAAAATTCATGAACATTTTGTCTCCTGCAGTTCATGGTAGCTGCAAGTTCTGGACATTTCTGTTATGGTGATTTATATAAGATATCATAAATAATTGGAATGTCATGACACTTTTGACCATTTTTAGCGACACGACAGACTAGTTTTGAGCAACCATTTCTCAGCAAAACCAAATTGCTTATTTTAAAGTCACAATAGCCAAACTATCTCTCCATGGCAGTATACCTTTCTGAAATGTGATTTCAGTGCACAATTTTAATAATTTGATTTAGCAGAAATTGAATGAATTTTTTGCCATAGACACTGGTGGTGTCCTACAGCAGTGTGTGAAAAGTAGGTTTCCGTTCATCCTTTGCCGGACACCAATGGTGAATTACATTTCGATTTGATTACTAATTGAGTCAATTTTGACACCAATGACTGAGAGTAATTTCAAACCATGAATATTTCTGTGAAAATGGTCATCATTTAAAAGGAAAAAAACACATTGCTAACATATACATAAAGTGTAGGTTACAGAAACACATTACTATTTCCTACACAATCTGACAAATTTCATAATTTTTCATTTCTATTGATTTGCATAGTGGCTAAACAAGTTTGAAATTGGCAAAGAAAAACAATGTAGTATTTATGGTACATTGTATGCCATTAGGGCCATAATTTAAAAAAAAATATGAATAAATAAAGGAAGAAATCAAAGAACAGAACATTAATATAAGAATAAATCAAAGAATAAAAGTAAATAGCTGTTGCTAAATGTTGTTTTTTATTGAATCACCTTTACTTAAAACCTGGCTAAAAAGACAACTGTTGTCATGAGTATGAAGTGGGTATATTTTTAACTACCACAATATGTCAAATTTCAAATATATGGTTACATGTACCAGGACAGTTCTGGAAAAATAATTATAGTTTCAATACATGTATATTTATTATTACAATATATCATAAATCATCAGCAGCTCAGTGAAGTTTTTCAGTCGCAGTTACCAAACAAGAATGACAATTAATCAACATTAATCCTGATGCTGTTGTTGCGATTTGGGGATGAAAGGTCGGATTAAACAGTTTACTGTTTAGCCTCGGTGGCGAGTAATAGTTGTTTTCCTTTTTCACAGCCTTTTCAATCACCTACTGTGGAATATTTTATTTTCGCTGGAATTAATTTTCGCTGAAAAGGCTTTTTGGGCGTTTTGTATGGAATTTAATTTCACTGATTTTTGATGAGTTTAATATGAAATATAGGAAAAAAAGTATATTCGCTGGATTGTATTTTAACGGAATCATTCCTTCAGCGAAAATAAATTCCAAGCGAAAATAAAGTATTCTACAGTATTTAAATAAGCTGATTATACATGTATTTGTCTATTTTTTCATTTATTAATTTTACTATTTTTCTTAAACATTCTTTAAATTAATATTCTATGTATAATCTATTTATTCTTCTACATTTTTATCTACTCTTTTATTTAGTTATTTATTCTTTTATATTAATTATTTATCTATTATTTATTTGCTTTTTTTCAATTTTTGCCTAATGGACACACCATATAGCCAGTTTGGCTGAACTAGTTTATCCTCAGAGTCAGGATCCGTGTAATGCAATCAACTGATTGATCACAAACAACAGTACCCGGTAACCCTGCATGAATTAATGGACGTCCCCTTTTCTACGTACTTCACAACAATCGAAGGTGAATGTGACATCGCTCTCAGAAGAGTACAGCACATTTATACAACACAATAAAGAGAGTGAATCTGCACATGGTAAACATGGACGTCTCATAAGTGGAACCACAGTTACATGAAAGTCGTATATTGATGGAAATATGTAGGATAGTAAGCTGATTAAGCTTGAATAGTCCCAATTAATCTATACTCTTTATACTTACCGCATCTTCCCAATTCTGTCTGTTGTAAGTATTTGTACTCTTACTCGCTGCCATTTTGTAAACGATTTCACCTTTGACTCAGGAAGACCTCGTTCAAGTAAGAGATACTATAAATAAAACTACGACTCATGAATTACATTAAACTTTCATTATTTTAGCGAAATTTTAGTTATAAAACTTTTTATTTAGTTTGTAAACGTTTTTACAGTTTTTTGTTGGAATCGGAACTGTGTTTAGTATGCAAATAATAATGATTCTGAACGAGACCATCTTTCCAATTTCCCGCGGTAACTCTCGCAAGCAAGTGTCGAGATCTCGTAGATCAAACGCCTGCTGAGGTCATATCATAATATTAAAAGTTGACGGGGGTACGGTACGGTACCGTTTCGTTTGAACTGCCTGCTTACACTGCATATATTACATCAGTGGCACAAGTCTATAACCGTAGACCATCGACCGTGGCTGCTGTGTAGATACAACACCTCAAAAATGAGTTTCCTTTTGTAAGTATTAATCAACGAACTATACTTCGTAGCGCCGTGCGTTCCTGAACAGATCGCGTTTTAGTCGGTCGCCATCTTGAGATATTTTTGTCAACATTCTTCGTCGGTGAGTCGTACCGGTTGCGCCGGCGATCTCCACAAAACTTCTCTCGTCATTGTCACGTCACTGTCATGCTCGTCACATCCACACTAATGAAATAATATTCACGAATTACTGTAACGTCACCGTGCGTGCAACACCCTGGTCAATAAACAGCCCACCAGTTTTATTTTAAATAATGTGTAATTATTTACCATCTGCCAAAAGTTTATTTTAATTACAATTTTCAGTTACTTAATATCAAACTGTGACAGCAGTAACTATGACTTCTTCAGTGATAATATTGATATTTGAAATGTTGCACGAATGTTCTTCAACAGGTATCATGCGAAAGAGACAACTGTTGTCAAGAGTATAGAGTGGGTTTATTTTTAACTACAAGTAGTACGACAATATGTCAAATTTTACATTAATGGCTACTAGGACAGTTATGGAAAAATAATTATAAATAAAATAATTTCAATAAATGTATTTATATTATATCATAAATCATAAATATTTAGCAGCGTGCAATTATTAATATAAATTTGTAATAATTAGCTTAGTTCCTCCATGCTTTGTTGTGTATAAATATTTTTTTTTGTTAATAATGTGATTAATAATTGTAATATAAATATAGAATGTTGAACTATGCATTGGATTACTGTACTCAAAATCTGACAATGGGTAATACTTCAAAATTTAAATGTGTTATTTCCTATTGATGATGGCTTTTAAACAAAAATAAATCAAATGCCAATGACTCAGTGTAGTTCCCATTGCCAAATTGCTTACTTTACTTGAGAAATTGAATTTTAGTGATAGTATTATTTAATTACTAGTATGTTTGTTCTTGATCCAAATGTTGTGAGACTAAATGCATTGTAGCATAAACCGGTCACCCTATAATAATATCAGAACCACATATAGAGTTTATGATGATAGTTTAATCATTTTATTAATTTTTTGTCTACTTTGAATTTATGTATCCATTCTTTATTAGCCACCAGCTCAAAAGAGAGTCTTTCAATGAATGGAGCAAAACATAAGCTTTTTATTTAGTCAGGCCTTGCCTTATGAATATGAACCTGGAATCTAAAAATGACACTCCTAAACACAGTAACCTGAGTAATTAGATGAGCTATGCTATTAAAATCTCTTCAACAGCTTAATTAGGAGAGTTATAATTATCTTTTAATCAGTCCTAATTTGAGTGAGTGATAGATGAGTATATTGGTCACTTCCCTGAGAAATCAAGGTATTCATTGTGTCCACAGGCTGAATTAAAGTAACTAGATTATATTAGAATTAATTACTTGAACAGCCAAAAAAAAACTGTTTGTATGTATTTATATAATTTGCTTAACAGTTCATAGTTGAATAAAAAAAAAGTTTGTTATGGCAGTCTTTGTAAATCATTTTCAGCAGAGATTTTCCCATGCCATTTTGACTAATGAAGTCACCTTACAGTCACGAGTGTTTACTTTGCAGTTTCTCTTGAGATAGGGTGGGGCACTTACTTTCTTTTTAACACCTCGTACATGACATCAGTCATTGATTTGAAAACAATATTTATTTATCAAGCTTATTTTTTCACTTTAAAGAGCTATTCAGTCAATATTTTAAAATTAATAGAATAAGTGTTGAATTTTACTCTCAAGTGATAGAAAACTGAAACTCTGCTAGTAATAAATTAACATGTTTGTTTATAACAATGAAATCAAACGTAATCCAGTGAGTTCACTTCCTGTGTAATCGACAGTTGGCTTGAGGTTTTTAGATTTTTACTTTTGTGTTCAGTTCTTGTGTTCTAGATTTCATTGTTCCAGTCACTTGTGTTGTAAAGTGATCAAATCCAGGTGAGGTACTTTTTGTCGATCACATATGCAATTATAAATGCTTGCTAAAGCCTTTTTTTCTTATCTTTTAATAGTTGTAATGGCTTCCATTACTTTTATTGTATGGCTTCCTTGAGTGCTGTCAATGATATCATCCTTCATTTTCTATATTATGTATGTTGTTCCTGGAACCTATTCCGCGTGTCTTGTCAGTTACGCACAGTACATGACTCTGGGTTTGCACTAGTGTCTCAGCAAGGCGAGTCCCACTCACAAAATTTTAAGAAATTGAAATTTGACCCTGAATAACTTGTACCCAAGCTTGCCTGAAAAACTTGGTTCCTCTTCATTAATTAGAGTCCGGGAAGCAAAATATGGGGTTAATGCTATCCCTGATGACAATCAAAATCTAGTCGGCCCCACCCAAACTGTTTGGTTTCGTCATTGACTATTGTTTTCTTTATGGTCTATGGTATCTGCTTTGTAATTTATTAGCGACACATTTGTGTGTGTTCATCGTGGTGTGGATCTAACAACAGTAAAACCAGTTTATTATCCAATTCCTTGTAATCTGTCTGGAGTGAGTGGTGCAGGTGACTGAGAGAGTGTGAAAACCTATATTTCATTGTACCATGCTTCATGGTACTCACGTTAACAACTAGTGTGTTCTTGCGCAGTCATTTGGTATGTGCTAAAAAATAATAGTACTTAAAATTGTACTACTGTAAAATACTTTATTTTAGCTGGAATTAATTTTCGCTGAATGAGACTTTTTGGACATTTTGTATGGAATTTATTTTCACTGATTTTTGACGAGCTGAATATTAAATATAGGAAAATCATCGTCATTCCTTCAGCGAAAAAGGCAAAAATCAATTCCAAATGAAACTATTCTACAGTACTTTATTGACTTTATTTCACTATGGACAGATTTTATTGCTACAAATATGTATTTTGTATTCAAAATAATATTAAATACTACTTAATTACATAATTACTTGAATAATACAATCTTGCTTTCCATCATAAAAATGCCAACTTCTCTCCTAAATTATTATTCAAAAGTGTAATTTTCACCAGATGGCTTGGGCTGGATCAAAGATGTACATGTAATCTGTATCTAAATTATTATTATTATTCAATTATGTAATTTTCACCAGATGGCTTGGGCTGGATTAATAATGTAAACTTAATCATGGTAATTTTTTATTATGTTGATAGTGGCACAAGTGTAGTATGAATGTAGGGAATGGACTATAATACATGTAGTTATATGAAGCAGTATTGAAGAATGCCATTGAATTAATTTCATGTGGTACAAACAAAAATTTTATTTGAATTTTTGTTTTGCCTTATTTATAGTCCGATTATTTATAGTCAGTGTGGGTACATGTAAAAGTTCTATTCATTTTTTTTTTATGTAAATTATGTGAATTGAAGGCAACGTGTGTACATTTAGTGATTTACACTCAGCTTGATTATTAAGGTATTAATAAATAAATAAATAAATAAATAAATATCTCCGATTATGCAACATATTGCATTTTTTACCTCATTTCTATTTATATTCAGAAACCATTCTACCATACATAAAAAGTGTCTTGATTAAATTATTAAATCTTTCAAGTTATCACTCATCTCTCTTTGGATGATAATCCACCACTTTTTCTAAGAATAAATCTATTAGATCAAATACTTGTATATTTATGATCAAAAAGGTATACCGATACATTTGACAATGAATTAGTTGTTTAACTGTGGCCAAACCCAAAGAAATAATTGATTGCATTTTTACGAATATTAATTTTCGACTATCATGACTATTAACAATTTTGCTTAAACACTTCTCGCTAAAATTGCACAAACTGGGCTGAAAAATGACGTCTTGTGTTTTTAGTGAGCTTCCAATTTTGAGTTATGGCCACAAGATGACAGACCTGTTCGACAAATGGAGTGTCGATGAGAGGGAGAATAATCCACTATTATTTCCGAGCCTATAAAAGGCCCGAATACTTGTTTTAGTGCGTGAATACATGTAACCTTTTCCAGTGACGAGTTAATAAAAGCAGTTTACACAATGTATTTGTTTATTTGTTATACGCTCATTAGGGTTGAGATAAGTGTGAAACCCTATTCCCAATTCCCCCCACATGGAGAGTGTCATGTTTGGTAGGCTATATCTGTATAACTAAGAGGAACAATAATTCCAAGACCTATTTTCAAAAAATAATTTTCATTGAAAAATCCAAATGAACATGCAGTGAGAAATGGCCAATCAAGTTTCAATGTAACATCCCAAACTCAAAGCACTACAGACGTTGCTTTGCGATGTGTTTGACATGGGACTCATTTTGACATGTATAACATGTGTAAAATACTTTGTTTGTTTACACAAAATTTGCAGATATTATCAAAAAAAGTACCTGATCATATTCTCTTGTATCCAAGGTACATGCTTAGTAACTGGCAGAAAATGTCCTAATCGTAATCACAGTATTTCTTGTTTTTTCCCTCTCACGACCTTAAGATTTCAACTGAAAACCCTCTATAAATAAATTAACTCTGTGATCTAAGCGGTTACTTGTCAACCCATCAGTTGTATTTGAATAATAATACATGTATATTAGAATGGTTGGCTTCAATGTTGGTTTCCTCTTAATGGCTGATGAAAAGTTGGGCAGGTTCTTTCTTAAGT